AAACCCCAGAGACCAAATAGTTAAGCTTATGAGTTGACACTGAAACTGTCCTGGGGCCAGAATATGGAACAAGGGCACTGATGTTGCTACGTCCAGGCTGGAATTCTGTTGTTCACTCAGAGGCAGACAACGTAGCCTAAGACATTCTCAAATCAGGAATTTGGATCAGAGATTGTCTCATACAGAATTTGAAAGAGCTAGATCTCAATGAAACGGTGGGCTAGAAAGACACTTGTCTTCAGGCTAATAAATTTGTATTTGGCCTTAGGCTCTGAATATGGAGTAAAAATGACATTTGAGAATCTATAAGTATTAGCCTTTAGTCAAAGACTGTTGAAGTTCTAATTTATTTTATCCAAATATGAAGGAAACAACCAAGTTAAGAAATTAACATAAAATATACTTCTGGATTAGTGATATATCTGGGGCATTTAAAATTAAAAATAATTTTTTGAGACATGAGCCTTTAAACTGGGTTTTATAAGACATGCACAGGAAAAAAAGCTGTGCTTAATATGACTTCATGATTAAATTGCAAAATAATAAACCAATTATTTACATCCTCAAGAATTTCAACAATAGAACTATTGCAGAAATAAATGAAAATGATTATTTTTAAAGTGATGAGATTTATAAAGAGATTCAAAGTATGTGGACAAAACAACAAAGAACATAACACTTTCAACAATAAAGATAAGTTTAAAAAACATAACACTGTGAAAAATAAACAAGCAATTGAAACAGGACTATGTAGAACAAATAAAAGTTTAAAAGTCTTTTACATTACAACCTTATTGAACAGGTTAAACAACAGGTTAGACACATCTGAAGAGAAAATTAGTGATGTAGTTAGTAACAGAGCATTAGTTATAATCTGAGGAAATTATTTAAAACTCAGCATGGAGAAATGAAGAAACATATCATATGTAAAAAGGTTAAAAATACAGAGGAAACCATCTAAAGTCCCAAGAGACTTATGATAGAATTTGAAGAAAGACAGAATAAAGGAAAAATAGGGCAGAGTAAACATTTGAAAAGATAAATAAACTTCTAAAACTGGTAATAGGCATGAGTTAGCAGATACAAGAAAAACAACAAATATTAACCAGGATGAACGAAGAACTTTTAGAAATTCCACAATGAAACTATAGGATAATAACGATAAAGAATATTTACGAGAAACCAGAGAGAAAAGGCAAATTGACTACAAGGAACCACAGTTGGACTATCATCAATCAACCTTTTCAATGTGGATATATAAGCCTTCCAACAATGGAATAACATCTTCAAAGTGCTGAAGGATTACTAGCCTAAAATACTATATAACCAAACAAACTATCATTTATAAGTAAGAGATCATTAAAGACATTTTAAAATAAAAACTGACTCAAAAAAATTTTCCTAAAGAAGAAGGAAATTGAACTCAGAATGAGGTGTGATTCAAGAAACTGTGGTGTCCACGAAACTGGGTAAACAAATTGCAGCTATTCACAAATATTGACCCTAAAAGATAACATTTTGTTAATGAATATTTTCTATTAGTAAATGTTAACATACTAAATAGTACTTAAAAAGCTGAAACTAACATAATGAGCACTGATTTATAAGATGGGAGCTGGTGGTGGGAATAAAGCAGTCAAAGGATCCTGTATTCAGGAGGAGATGATAAAAATAAAATAGGATTTGAGAGAATGGCTAAAAGAATAAAAACAAAATGTATAATTTCTACGTGGTCAGAGGAAAGAAGAGAATTTGTTAACATTTCATAGAGAGGGAAAAGAAAGACATGGTAAACAGGGCAAAATAAGATAACCAAAATAAACTCAAAGATATCACCATATATAACAAACAAACAATGAATCTTCATTTGCCTGTTAAAAAACTAGATTCAGGGCTTTAAAAATCCAGTTATGCATTTATAGGGACTGAAAACAGAACATAAGATAATTGAGAATGAAGAGATGAAAAAAACATTTCCAGGCACATTCCAACCAAGAGGAAGGTCAAATAGTTTTGTGAATATCCAAAAAACTATAAGGAACAAAACAGTATTAAGGAATTTTTAAGCCAGTACATAAATATAAATGGAAGAATCACCAGCAAGATAGAACAATCCTAGTTATATATGTATGAGATTATATATCTACAAAAAATATAAAGGAATATTTGAGAGAATTGTATGAAGAATTCAGAGATGGACAGCCTTATTGGGAGATTTTAACATACCTCTCAATAATTCACATATCAGAGTACTAGAAAGATGCAGAATGTTTGACAACACAATTAGTAAATTTGATGCATTAGACAAAAATAATCACAACAATAATTGCACATATCTACAATGACTAACAACTGAAAATGAATAAATTATGTACATTAATTAAAATTCATAAAATGCGTATGTTAATATTCCCCAAAAGGGTGAAATTAAATAAAGATAGCAAAAATTACGGAATGAAAAACAAAGAAACAAAAGAGAGGTTTAATAAAATTCAAAGATACTCTTTGCAAGCATTCTAAAAAGTAAACCTCTAGAAAAATTAATTTTTAAAAAGGTTATGAATGACCGAGTAATACAGTGATACCTCGGTTCTCGAACATAATTCGTTCCAGGAGGACGGTCGAGAACTGAATTGTTCGAGAACCGAAGCAATGAAACCAATAGGAAAGCGTGACTCCACAAAGCGTGACTCTCTCTCTGCACTCACACTGATGACGCAAGCAAGGCGCGCTGGGCCGAATGAACGCCATTCGGCTCAACTCGGCTCATCTCGGAAGTTCGAGTTCCAAATATTTGTTCGGATTCCGAGACAAAAGTTTCTCGAATCTCCTGGTCGAATACCGATTTGGTCGAAAACCGAGGCGTTCGAGAACCGAGGTATCACTGTATTTCTGTTTCTGTTTGAAACATTTGATAATGTTTTAAAGGTAACACTTTTTGGAAGAATAGTGGGACTTTGGACTAAGTTAATGTCCCTAAGTAAGAGAATGATTTTCATTTTAGAATAAATAATAAAATGTGATGTTATTGTTTACTGCTCACCACCCCACCCCCAAGAAAAACCCCACATTTATACCTTTTTACATAAGGAAACTGAAGCCTTCTTTAGTAACAGAACTTACACAGCCACTGGGTTTCATCTGTAAGCCGTAGGCATAGGCAGGTGAAAAGTAATTCATTGACAGTCTGTAAGATGAGGAAAGAAAAAGACTTCAGAGTAGTAACAACCACAGGTGTCTCAAGTTATTGGCCTCTTTTGAAACAAGGCTTCGTTTTTTAAAATGGAAATAGCTGTATGTTTTATAAATTAAAAAATTCATTTTCTTTGAAAAAACTCAAAACACTGAAAAGAAATTATTTATAGTAACCTAAACAGTAATTTCACCTTTCAATAATAATCACTATTATCATTTTAGTATATATCCTTCTATTTATGTGTATGTATAGTGTTTACCCTAAAATCACACTCTCTATTTTTGTTTTTAACCTGCTCTTTGTGTTAGAAATAATTCCAGGTCCAGGAAAAAAAACCTGTCGTATCTCTTTTAATGGCTATGCAGCATGATATGGTGTGGTCATACCATAATGTATGTAACTAAACCACTGTTGATTTTTCTTATATGCAGTGCTGCAGTAAACACAATGCTCATGCCTCTTTAAATACTTGTCCATTTGTTTCCTTGAATTCGGTTTTAGAAGATTTGCTGGATCAAAGGAAATACATAATAAATAGTAAGGCTTTGGTATCAGTCAGGGTTCTCCAGACAGGCCAGCCAGCAGGCTGGAAGCTCAGACAGGAGTTGAGGCTGCAGAAATTTCTCTTCTCTAGGTAACCTCAGTTTTTCCTCTTAGTCTGTGCTGTTGCCTTTTTATTTTCTTCATGGTATCCTTTAATAAGGAGACTTTCTTAATTTTAATGTAGCTCATGTAATCATTTTTTCTTTCATAATTAACTCTTTTGAGTCCTCTTTAAGAAATATTTGTCTGTTGAGAGATGTTCTTATGTTTCCTTTGTTTCATTCATGTTTAAAGGTGGAAAGAGGTATGATTTACAATAACCAAATTGTTTCCATGGAATCCTGTGTTGTAGGGTATTTTGCTATTTGGGTATTTATTAATCCACCAAACATTCTTTTCTCCTGCTGGGAATAGCACCTCCCCCTCTGTATTTTGGGGGAACCCCTAAGGGCCTGCCTATTGTAGCATTCAACATTACTTGCTAGAGATGTGAGCTCTTGACCCAAACTGGGCTAAAACTGCTACTTTTTTCACCACTTGGTTGCAGTGATTGGTCCAAATATAGCTATGTGACCCCAGCTGGAGCTATCAGGGAGGTGACTGCAGACCTGTCCTCCGCAGCTGTGGTCTAACTCAGCGAGACTTCAGCATGAGAACCGGAAGCCAGTTCCACCAGAGCAGAGTCGAGAGAGAGAGCAGATTTCGGCCCTGTTAAGTCACTGGCTACCTAAAACTTTCTCCACCCTGGACCTTCCTGTGGGTTTTGTATATGGGCCAGTAAATTCCCAACTTTCACTGAGATCTTTTTACATAAAAGTCCTGAAATAAGGACACTTGGAAGTGAAGTTCCATTATCATAGAAGTTTGAGAATGCTCCTAATATATCTCACCCCTAGAGATTCATGATGTGTTTTAGCTTATTAAAGGACATAAAACCTGCTGACGTTTATTTAACCCAGTGATTCCCAAACTTGTTTTTAACATGAATAGTTTTTTTAAATGGTGCTTCTATTAACATCTCAGAATCTTGACCAGTGGATCACTGATCACTGATTTAGAAATGTTGGATCATGGCATGGAAGATCAAACTGCAAGCTGACAAAGGAAAGGCATTTTAATCTTGGAGCTAGTTTTAGAAAAGTGCTGATATTTATTATATGAAAATAATGTTATATTTTATTTGGGCAAAGAGTCTTCTGATGAAGAAAAATCTAAAAGGCAAATTTAATGCAACCAATCTGCAAACTTTTTTCTCATGCAGGTTAGCCAGTATACCTTTGCAATGTGCAGTTACAGAGAAAAAAAGTCTGAACCTCAAGAATTAATGCAGCTTGAAGGATACACTGTGGATTACACAGATCCCCACTCAGGTAATTCTAAGTTGAATCATTTCCCCAGCCATTCGTGTATGCATAAAATTCTCATAAATATCCTGTATCTGTTCTACAATCTTCACTCAATAAATGGGGTGCATATTTCACTTATATACCTAAACAGACTTTATGAAAAATCAGATTGTATGTTTTTGAAGGCTACTTACTTTTAGACATAACTCATCATCTCTGTTATCTTAGTACAGCGATTTGCAACCTTTTTCATCTCATGACACACATAAACTAATTACTGAAATTCTGTGGCACACCAAAAATGTATTTTTTTGCTGTTCTGACAAAAAAAATTATATTTTGATTCATTCACACCAGATAGCTATTGTTGTATTGACTGTTGTCATTTTTTTATTCGACAGTCTAAGGGAAAAGAGGTCAGTGCCTATTTAAGTCAGGTTTTGCATGTTTTAAAAATGCATGCAGCACACCGGTTGAAAATCTCTGTCTTAGTACAAGTATGAAATATGTGAAAGTTACTGAAATAGAAAAATTATATGAGAAATATCATCAGCACTCACATAAACTTCTTTACTGGAAAGCAAAAAGTGTAAGAGACAGAAATAGGGAAAGAAATGGCAAATTATTATATATTCTACCAATTTTCTCCCCAGCAACATGTTCTTTTGCTTTTCTTCCTCTATCCATATTAATACTGGGCATATAGCACTAGACACTTGCTCACTAATATTGGTGAGGGAGTGAGTGAATGAAACAATATGTGGAGATTAGTGAAATGAACAAAGTGATATTAAGAAATAGACAAATAAATATAGAGATTAAGAAATTAATATGTACAGATTAAAAATAGAAGTCTGTGATCACATTCATTAATCAGTCATTTAAAAATGCAAAATATCTACCCTGGCCAGTTTGCTCAGCAGTTGGAGCATCAGCCTGTGGACCAGAGAGTCCTGGGTTCAGTTCCTACTAGGGGCACGTACCAAAAAAAAAAAAAAAAAGCAAAATATCTTCTCTGTGAAAGAGTTTTGCAAAGGATAAAATACCATCCAATATAAATATCATTTTTTGCCTTATCTGTATTTTTTCAGCTAAACTCATCATAGTTCTCCAGCATAGAGAATAAGAAATATTCCAAAAGATCAGCACTTTCTTCTTTGACACAAAATATCAGACTATTGTATGCATTTCTGGGGGTGGGCTTGTTGTCTTTCACAATGCTACTGTGTTGTGGACTGTGTATTTTCCTAAATTATTTTTATTTTTCAAAGCAACATGGAAATTTAAACTTTTCTCTTATTATCTGTCCTTCAACTCTTGGGTCATAGGTTTGATCCTCAACTAAAAATCATTTAAAACATTGACATCGAGCTAACATCAAGTCGGTTCTTTTCCGAGACTATTTAGTAAATAAGATTAAGATCTGCCGATTATATGAGTTTTTTAATGATGTCTTTCTCTTTCTACAGGCCTTCAGGGTGGTCAGATGTTCTTTAATGCTGTTAAAGAAGGAGACACTGTTATATTTGCCAGTGATGATGAACAGGATAGAATATTATGGGTTCAAGCCATGTATAGGGCCACAGGTCAATCATATAAACCTATTCCTGCAATTCAGACCCAGAAGCTGAATCCTAAAGGAGGAACTCTTCAAGCAGATGCTCAGCTATGTAAGTTTTATTAAAAAATAATTTGATTATCAATTAATAACCTTAATAAGATATAAAATTATCTGTGATAAATTTGTTCAGTATTATAGTTTACATCATTAACTGATTCCTAATTGAATAAAAATAGTTTATTTTAATAGAGAATCAGTTATCTAATTTTTCAACAGATCTAAAGTAAACGGTGCCAGTTGTTTCCAATCGTGAATTTGCAAGCATTGGAGTATCTCTGGGAATCACAACAGCATATAAGAAAATTTTCTAAAACTTCTCTAAAGAAATATTTACTTTTGTGATTTTTTTTTTTTAATCCTCACCCAAGGATGTTTTTCTCTTTATCTTTAGATAGAGTGGGAGGGAGGGAGAGAGATGGAAGGGAGAGGAAGAGAGCAAGAAACATAGACGTAAGAGGGACACATCTACTGGCTGCCTCCCACACAACCCCAACCAAGGTCAGGGACGAGCTGCAACCGAGGTATGTGCCCTTGACCAGAATTGAACCCATGACTCATTGGTCCGTGGGCCAATGCTCTAACCACTGACCAAACTGACCAGGGATTAAGTTTTCTAATTTTAACTTGGGCCTATATAAATTTTAACTGTGTCTTATAGAAATAAGAAAGTATTGCAAAATGAAATTTGCATTGATAAGATTTCAGAAAATCAAAATGATGAACTGTCCCTTTCTGGATTTGTTCTTCATAACACAGAAGGATAATAGGGCTACTTTCTGTTGTAGGTTGATAAAAAAGAATAAGTCATCAAACCAACTTTCTTTTTCTAGATACCTTAAAATTTATGTCATTTTTAGTGCTAATTCAATTAATTAAGAACTATATTATTTGGTCCTTCCCGGGTTGTCTGGTGAGTTAGAGCATTGTCCAGATATGCCAAAGTTGCAGGTTCAATCCCTGGTCAGGGCACATACAAGAATCAACTAATAAATACATAAATAAGTGGAACAACAAATCTATGTTTCTCTCTCTCTCTCTCCTTTTCTTTCTCTCTCTCAAAATCAATACATTTTTTGAAAACTGTATTTTTCATTTGAATTTACAACTGATTAATAACAAATTATGTAATAATGAGAAACATTTTCAAATATAGCTTTTATAATCATTAGACCAAATGTTCTAATTTATTATACTTATTTGCAAAAATTATCTGATTTCTCCTGAAATAAATCACTTTGTCTATAACTTTAAGCTCAAACTGTGATTTTTCAGTTAATACCCTTTTACTCTGAAGATTCTTCTCTGGGGGAGTAACGTCTTGATATGCATTTTCTTCTATTTTTTTTATGCATCAAATGACTACTCCCTTTTCTTTTTGGCACCCTTTAGTATCATATCTTGGCATCTTAAAGGCACTTAATGCAATAATTAAACATGGAATATGAACTATAATTACCTTTGTCCTTTAGGGTTTACATTATATACCTTTAAACTGACCACAATCCATCATCATGTGATAGCACATTGTGCACAGTACGTGGACCTTTCAGTAGTATACTTCCATTTCTCCCCTCCTGGCCTCTGACTAGTTTTATCATACATTTAACTTCTACCTCTGTAGGAAATCTCACAACGCATTGCTATTAGTAGTATTGCCTTAAACAATTACCTGTTAAAGAAATTTAAGTAACATGAGAAAATGTTACATCCTCACCCGCGTGCTTACCACCTACAGCACTCTTCATTCTCTCACAGAGATGTTTTATTTCTTCTGGAAGGACTTCCTTGGACTTTTTCTTGCAGTGCAGGTGTGAGAGTTAATAATTCTTTTTTATACATGTAAAAGTCCTTGCTGCTGTTTTCAGATTTTTTTCTTTCATTACTTTAAAGATTTTGTTCTGTTCCCTGCTTTTTTCCCCCTGATGAGAAATGTGTTACCATTTTTGTTTAGTTCTTTGTATATAATGTCTCTTTTTTCCTCTAGCTGCTTTAGAGGTTTTCTCTTTGCTCTGGTTTTGAGCAGTTTGATTATGATGTGCTTTGGTGTGGGGTTTTCTTAAGGACTCTAACTTATGACCCCTGAATTTTGAGGTTTTATATTCTGACTATTGGGAACAAGTACTGTGCCAGGCTCTGTGTGAGTTTGGGTCACTGTCTCCTCTAATTCTTTAGGGTGATTCTCTCCGTGGCCTCAGGTAGTTGCCTCACATGTGTGAAGTGGTTAGTATTCAACCGAATACTGAAGGAGGCGGGGCGGGAACAGCACCCTTCCCTGAAGACTCAGCCCCCTTTTGAGTGGTCAGCCCATCTTTTCAACTCAGGACCACACTAGCTCTTCCTGGATTCTTGTTCCCTGTGCCACAGCTTTGAAAGTTCCTCCTGGCATTAACACGGGGCAACTGTAAGGCTCACTCATTTGTTTCCATCTCCTAGGAACCACTCTCCTATCTTGTCTGATGTCCAGTGTTTTGAGAACTATTTTTTTCTTAATTTTTAATTTTTTCAAATAAGAGGGAAAATCTCTTTTCAATTGAACCTTCATGACTAGAAGCATAATGATTATTTGTTGTAAGTTAGAACAAGATTTCTCAGCCTTGGCATTTTTAATATTTCGGGCAAGATCATTTTTTGTTTCAGGGGCTTGGGGAAGGTCTGTCCTGTGTATTATAGGATGTTTAGCATCATTCCTAGAATCTACCCACTAGATGCCAGTAGCACGCCCCCCCCACACACACCTAGGTCTTACAACCAAAGTATCTCCAAACATTTATTAAAGTTTCAAGAAGGCAGGATTGAGATGGGGAAGAATTACCCTTATTTGAGAACCACTGAGTTACAATGATTTGAGCATTGTTTTTGTAAAAACATCTCACTCATTCACTTTTGTTGACATCCTAAGTGTAAGGAATACCTGAGGAGTGTGCTGAGCTCATGGATATCATGCATCTTGCACATCGAGGCAAGAAAAGTGGTCAAGAACCACTAGTCTAGAACATTAAGGCCATCTCTATACAATACAGAATTAGTGAATTAAGGCTCTAATGACCTATTGATTCAGATAGCCATGTAATCTCTTTGTGGCTAAACCTTCTGCTATTAGATATCAATATGTTGTAGAGGCAGTGTTGATCAGGCTAATCGAAACTGAATTTTCCTTGATTAACTTCTGACAAAGCTAAACTAGTTTTAAAAAGCCAGACTGTTTAAGTTGTGTTAACAACAGTGTTCTTGTATTCTAGGCTTTTAGTAAAGTTTTCTATTAGATCAGACTCTGCTGTTTTATCTTTTTGTTTTGTTAATCCTCACCCAAAGATGATTTATTTAGAGTAGGAGGGAGGGGTGGGGGGGTACAAACCTGCAACCCAGGTATGTGCCCTTGACTGAGAATCAAACCGGTGACCCTTCGGATTGTAGGCTGAAGCTCTAACCATTGATCACACAGACCAGGGCTGTTTTATCTTTCTTTAAAAAGGAAAGCAAAAGAAAGGAAGAAGGAAGGGAGAAAAATGTATTTCTACCTCATAAAAATGAGCATGCTGAGTGTGACCTGTGTCAGAGATGCCATTGGGCCACTACAGAAAGGCCTGCCTTTAGTGTTAATCTCTTGGAAGAACAATGCTTAGAGTCATTAGTGGCCCACAAGAAAATAATTAAATTAATATGACCAGTTATAGTAATAAATATGTTCCTAACCCACTTAAAATATGCTTTGTTTTTGTTTTTGTTTTTTGTTTTTTTTTTTCATTTCTTTGCTGACTGATAGCTGGTAAGGGTAAGTATTTTCTTGATTTTTTTTTTTTATTGTTTTTTGCTTCACATTAAAAAATTGGTAATGGTACAATTTTTAAAGGACTATTATGACCTTGTTTGCAATGTCAGTCTGATAATTCCTAGGTAAACCCAGAATATTGAGGTTAACTTTACCATTTATGAAACAAAACTGTCTATATTTGCTACAAAAGGAAAGTAGAGACAACCTATTGTCTACCATTCATGTGGCACAAAGGTAATAACTATGAAGGTGATACAGTAGCATGCAGAAAATGCTCAATAAGGGTAAGTGGAAAAATGCTAAATTATATATGTGATATTATTTTCACTAAATAATAAATGTAAATGTAGGTAGAATTATACCTAAAATATTCACAGTAGATGACTTTAATTGGAGGGACTGGTTGCTGATTCCTTTCCTTTCCTGAATTTTTTTATCTATGTTATCACTTTAAAAAAGAAAGTTTCTTTTTAAAACTAATCATACTAGATGTTTAAAGATAGTCAGAACAAAAAAAATTATAAAAGCTAACTTATTAGAAGACAACCTTACTATATTTTCTCAGGTTATAAATAATGACAAGTGTTTATAGATTGCTCTGATAAGAGAGTCTATCCCACTTCTCTGTCTCTTTAACTCTCAGGATATGTAGAAATTCTGAAATAGGGTCAACAATGCCTTTTGCCTGACAGACATTCTTCAGTTAAACTATACTTCTTTGCTGCCTGCAATCAAAATAATATACAATCATCGTATTTCTCTTAACTCATGTATGTACCATAATACAATATGTACATTACAGAATATTCTGACATAGTGATAGTGGGCTCCCAGTTATAAATTAATGTCAAAAATGAACGAGAAAAGTTACCTTCTTTTCAATTTTAAGCCAATTTTTAATCCTTAAATTAGAGCATAAATTTATATTTAATTACATAAGCTAGTTTTCTTGATTGATCTAGTGAATTTCACACTTCATAGGTAAAATATGTCTTACTTTACATTGAATATATTATTTTAAATAAATGTTGAATATTAGTTTACCTGGCCTGTGATTCTAGGTCTGTATGTGTTGATTAAAATTGTCATCATGTGAAAATATTACATGTTATTTGCTGCAGAAAGACGTGTAAACCCATACATCACTTTTTAATCAGTTTAACAAAAACAAGCTAGGAAATCATTTCGGTCCATAATAGAGGTGTGAACAAACTTCTAGTTAATATATCAACCATTTCTCTCTGGTCTCAGCATAAAACATGCATACATACAACACAAACATATGAACCAGGATGGTCTACTTAAACTTTTAACATCAAACTTCTCTTATTAGAGGCAGTAGGGGTGTTATAAAGAGAAGTGGTATGTACTTCTCTATGCCACTTTTAACTTCCTGTAAATTTTTTCTTTTTTTAAAAAATATTTGTAATTGTGTTTGTTTGTTTGTTTGTTTGTTTGTTTTAAGAGAAAGAGAGATAGAAACATCAGTAGTCACCTCCTGCAGGTCCCCAGTGGGGATCAAGCCCGCAACCCAGGCATGTACCCTGCCTGGAAATCGAGCAAATGACCCCTCATTTCATGGGATGACGCTCAGTCCATGAAAACGCCCAGTCCAGGCTAACTTTCTGTAAATTTTCAAGCTCAATGAGAGTTTGAGCTAAAAGGAAAGTATGATCAGCTGTGGGGAGCAGTAAATGCAGTGCCAGGCAAACTCCTTAAAACATGGGACAGGAGAAGAACGGAGGCAGCAGTGGCCCCGGCAGCTCGGGGCTGAGTGCAGGCAGGATCACCACGGTTCCTCAGAGCGTCTTCAGGTCCTCTGCCATTCAGTCTGCAATCTCAGTCCACTTGAGGAGAAATACTGGTGTTACAGCAGTGGCATTTAATAAGGAACTTGATCCTGTACAGAAACCCTTTGTGGACAAGATTAGAGAATACAGAACTAAGCGACAGTCATCTGGAGGACCTGCTGGTACTGGCCCAGAGTATCAGCAGGAGTTGGAGAGGGAGCTTTTTAAGCTTAAGCAAATGTATGGTAAAGCAGACATGAATACATTCCCTGACTTCAAATTTGAAGATCCCAAATTTAAAATCCTGGAAAAACCCCAGTCCTGAAGAAATGTAAAATTTGTCTGGTAATTTGCCCTAAGTTGTATAACTGATCAGAAGAGTCAGAGTAAACATACATTTCAACAACTGTCAAGTGTTCTTTCATTCTGATTCCAAATAAATTATTTGATGATGATAAAAAAAAAATATATAGGACAGTTTTAAACCAAGTTACTGTATCTGAAAATGGTCATGGCTGCTTAGCTCGGCTTACAGTTTTGCAGAGGAGGTGACAATTAACTAGCAGCACCATCTAGCAGGACTCCTCTTCTGAATCCTTTTGCTACTCGAGTCCCAGGTCTGGACATTCAGTATTGCCAGTGCTAGTGAACCTCTTATCCTTCAATGGTCTCCTTCTCCCAAATCTTTTTCCTCCCTTTTTTCTTTTAAAAATATTATCTCTCACAACACCAGGAGCAGCGCGCGCGCACACACACACACACACACACACACACACACAACAGAACAAAAACAGCATCTTTCAAATTAGTTGCAAAAGAAGGAGAAAAAAAATTTAGTTAAATTTTTTTCCATCTCACATTCTGAACTCTGACTCAGATGTCTTTCAGGAATTTGGGTTCTTGACCACAGTGGGGCCTGCCAGCTTGCTAATAGTCTACACATTGTTTTCTATGCCAGCTATTTTCATGTCAGTGTTAACTATCTAAATATATACTGTCAGCCTGTTTATTCTTTTCTCTTGACTTCCAACAGCTATTATCCTAATGAAAAATTTAAATTCTCCGGTTCCATTTAAATAAATCCATATATCTATAGCAAATAGTAATCTTTCTCAGTCTGGCTTTTATTTTGTCTACTTTTACCACATGTGGTGACAGTACTACCTAAAGACATTGGAGCATATATCCAACTATCTCCATAGAAACTGTCCTACAGTATCTTCAGTTACCTTGTCGCACATCTGTAGCTTTTATGACAGTTTTGCAATACATTGTTTAAGCTCAGATCTTGTTGGTTTCTTGAATAATTTTCTCATATTGTTTCAGAAGATAAACTGAACTGAAATTTGTCACCATAATTTTATGTTGTAGTACATATTAGTGGAAGATAACCCAGTTTAAAGCAAGTCTTCAAACCTTGGATTTAGTTATGCTAATGACTGAAAGCAGGTTTTCCATTTGATCTGATGATATCTCTGTTTCCTAAAAGTTAAATGTAGATATGTTATGCCCACAAAAACTATATGAAAATATTACTTTATAAAAATAAGAAAATAGGTATATTTTAATGATAGCTGATTTCCTATTTTTAGTTTATGAGAGAATTTTAAAGTAAAAGATTTCTCACACAGGGAGGTCAAACTGTTGCCTTTTCCATTTATTTTTATATTTTAACAAATTAATGGTAAGTAATGATGTAATGGTACATAGTAAAGTATACTTGCATAAAATATTTTGAACTGTGCTTATCAGACATAGAAAGGAAGAAGCTATAGCCTGTGTTTTGAAGATGGGATAATCCTTAAGAGTCCATTTTATTTTCATAGAATTATAACCATGGAGAGAGTACAGAGTTTTGTTTTTTAAATAAAAATTTTAGTGTGTTTGTTTTCTCATTGTCACTATAAAATCTGTATTTGTGACTGAAATGACTATCATGAATATTATTTTTATCACTAATGTTAATTGTTGAAAAAGTAATTTTCCACTTATGTGTATGACTCAGAATGTCTTGTCACATTAGTAAATTTATGGTAAAGTTATAATTCTTTCTTTCCTTTTTTTTTATTTTATCCTGAGGATATTTTTTTCCATTTTTTGTTCAGATAGAGTGGGAGGGAGAGAGAGAGAGAGAGAGAGACATCAATGTGAAAGGGACACATCGAGTGGTTGCCACCCGCATGACCCAACCAGGGCCGGGGACAAACTGCAACCGAGGTACATGCCCTTAGCGGGAACTGAACCCGGGTCTCTCTGGACCGCAGGCCGACGCTCTAACTGCTGAGCCAAACCGGCCAGGGCTAGAGTTATATTTCTTAAGAAAAATGCTTCATAAAATAAATTTATTTTTGAAAATATAATTATAGAAGTGAACCATAGATTCATTTTTTTTTTAAGGAACTCATGTATTTTATTTAAGGACTTAATGTAAAATATAAATTTGCTCCTACAAACCTTTATTGTTAAAAGAGAATTGTGGAGTTTTTTTTTCTCTGAAATATGTTACATATCCTGTTCTCAACAGATAAGCCATTAATGGGTGTTATTTTTAACTTCTTGTTATGACCTTCTCTAGTGAAAAAAAATAATGAATAAAATCCAGCAGATGTTTTATAAAACTAGTAATTTAATTTCATAAAGGTGATACTAAAAGATTTTTTACTCAGATAAATGGAAAAATAAAGATTCTAAGGTACATTTAAAAAATAAAACATAATCTTCTGATTTTACATGTGCCTTGCAGTGTTTAATATTCTGCCTCATACTCATTTGATATTATTTAACACTATCATATATTTAATTTTATATTAAAAGACAATCGGACAGAAGACTAAAATATAAGGGAAATTGAATAGTTTCATTTCAGAGTTCAGGAAAAGCAGTATATTTTAGTGTTCATCTAATTAATACTAATTTACCACATGTAATGAATTTAACCATTCATGTAACTATTAAATGTATAGGAATACATATGCTACTTTCTCCATGAATTATAACCTCATACCTTTCATCATCAATGGTCATTCATTGCTTGCTATATTCACCTTTTGATATTGTGAAATATGTATTAGTTTGTGTACCTTTTTTTTAAAAATGTGATTCTGAAGACCCTTCAGTTTGAATTATATAGTTCTTCCATCCACAACTATGGCTGAAAGTTGAACTTGACATGGATCAATATGATCTGGGCTAAATATCTAAATGTGACTGATTATGTTAGCATCATGTCCACAGATCAATATTGAGTTTTATTATGAGCCTGACTCTATAATTGGGCTTAATCAATAAACTTTTGTTTCCTTTCCTTTGCAACTTTAGGATTGCATCATATAGGTTTCAAAAACCACATTTATCTTACATTTAGGACTCTGCTTCTTGTGATGACCAGAAATGGGGTCTCTCTGTGAATTTTAGGGAACAATGGAACCTCAGCTCTACCATTATGAGAAGAGTCCATTTTTATCTTGATAACTGATTGCCTGACCAATATGCGCAACATTTCTAACAGAGCTAATGTAGTAACACCCAGCCCTTCTTTGGGGTGGTGTGTGGCTCTCTTTTTATCCTTAGTAAATAACTCACATTGAAGACTTTGACAAAACATGCCATTAATGAAAGCAATCATAAAAGCTTGCCTTTTGATAAACCCGCAGGGTCTACAGGCGTTGAAAGATGCAATCTGTAAAGAACAATGAATTTGGGCCTTTGATTGAAGTGCCATGTGGGACGTTATGCTTTGTCTGCATATTTGCACAAACATGATGCTCCCTTTTTCATGTCTCTTAAACTTGAAGCTTGAGAGCATTCATTGCCATTTCTACATTAAGGTTGGTCCCATTAAAAGCTCCATACAAAAAAGAAAAAAAAGAAAAGGGACTGGAAGTGATCCAGCTAAAGCTTGTATGTTCATTTCTGTCCTAGTTTGCCATTTGGAAAGCAGGCTTCTAGTCATCACTGCAGTTTTTTATGAATAGACTTGGGTTCTTTTCCAGTCAGTTCCTTCAGTCAGTATGTCCTTAAAATGCTAACGTTTCTTAAAATTGAAAAATAAGATTATTTCTGTGATGAATATTAGAAGTAGCTTTGAAAGAAAATAAGATTTCCTCACCTTGTTTCCAATGATTTGCAAATGTTTTCCTGTCATTTTCATTTACGCTCCCCCAAAATTGCAATTTATGTTCATATGCTGAATTATTGGCATTATAGTTTATGTAATAGAAGATAACCTTTTGTCATGAGGCATGCATTTTGTGGTTTTCAAAAACTGCATTTACCCATTTTTAAACCAGAAAAATAAATGTATTATACATGCTTTTCTGAATTCACAGACGCAGACCGTTTTCAGAAACATGGTATGGATGAGTTTATTTCTGCAAATCCTTGCAGGCTTGACCATGCCTCCCTTTTCAGAATACTACAGAGGCAGACTTTGGATCACAGACTGAATGATTCATATTCTTGCTTGGTGAGTACAAGTCTGTCCGTGTAGTCCCCAATGGGTTAGACTTAAAGAGGTTTAAAAGTGAGAAATACTTGTTATAAAGCGGCATTTTATTCCTGACTTGTTTAATAACTGTAGTTGGAGTTAGGGATGAAGGATTCCAATCGATTGCTTCCCAATTTGAAAATTATACACTTGAAGACCACTGCTGTGCCACTCAATAGACAGGAGAACAGACTCAAACAGACTCTGAACTGTGGTCTATCAGTTCCTCTGGAAAAGGCTTTAATGAAGATGGAAAAAAAAAAAAAAAAAAAACCTCTGTGATAGGATTTACTAACACCTGTACAGGCATTTTAAGGTTCAAGCTCTGTTCACCAAATTTGTTGATATATATTTCATTTCTCTCTTTTGTTCCTAGAAATATAACCTAAGTAATGGGAAAGAAAAAGTGAGATAAACAATAGGGCAGGGGCTATATCTGTAACAGGAAAGCTTTAGTTTCATCTAACACGCAAAATATAATTTGATTTCCTTAAAAAGAAAGAAAAAGGAATTAAATAGAGTAGCTAAACTATCTGCTATTTGTTGAAACCAGCCAAAATTTAGGACACAAAGTATAATTTACTTTTACAAGGTATTGTGTGACTTCTCGGAATGTGACCATTAAACTGTAGCCTAGGACTCACACGTGCCTTTGCAAGGATTTATATTGTTAGTGGCAATTCCTCTCGAATTTTTCCAGCCAGAATTGCCTATCTTTATCACCATTTAGTCTTTTGGCTACTGAGCATGGTAGCTCCATGCAATAAAGTTACATTCTCTTTAAAAAGTATTTTAGAAAGTATGTGCTCCCAGCTTATCAGAGGTGTTTCAATGAAACAACTTATTGTCAAGATCACACTGGTTATATATTAATTAATTTATAGACTCTTTATAAAGTAACCATTTTTCAGCATGTAATTGTATAGTTTAAACCTGATCCAGCCCTAATTTTACAATTACATGGAGAGTAAAAGAAATCATCACAAGCCTAATATATTTTTATGGACTAACCCATGTAGAGTGAAATTCAGTAAGGGACCATTTGCTCTTGGATTCCACTCAATAGGGTGGGTTACTGAATTGTCAGAAGCTCTTTTGATTATGTGGATGACCCCATGTGTCATATGGAGTCTGAAGATAACTCTACAGTATGTCTTCAATGGCACCTAGAGGCTAGTGAGCATGGTGGGATTAGAAAGTGAGTTTGGAGGCAAGATGACCCTGGGTGTAAGTTATGGCTCAACAATGGATTTGTAGTGTGGTCTTGAGCAACTTACAGAACTTCTCTGAACTTTAGCTTATATATTTGTAACATGTATATCACAATAACAACCATGCATGATGGTTGTAAATATTTAATATATGTAGTATGTCTAGTCCTGTGCCTATACCTTCATTACAGTAAATATTGTTCATTCTTTTCTTCTCCCTCTTTATCTATTGCAGTTCATCTTTCTACATTTCTCATCATTCTTTTCCTTTTCTTGCATGACTGTCCTACCCCCTTTTAAAATTCTCTATTCCCCCTTTTTATTATTTTTATCTTAAATTAATTCTTATAAATACACAATTCATTGAAACATTTTATAAACCAAACATTAACTGTTATTTTTGTCATAGAAAGACAAACAGAATGAGAATAATATCCCAAATATTTAAATATTTAAGTAGTAGATGTTTACCACTGCTAAACATACTGAAATTTTCTTTTAGTTCACTTTGTAAAGTGCTTTTGGTAACCAAGCAATTTCATTATAATGTCTGCTTTACCATAATGCTCTTCTTAATCAATTCAGAGATTGCGGTTATTTGGAATGTCATTTTTGTGACTGACGATTTAGATACTGTGAATAATTTTTTGTTGTTGTTAACTCTCACCTGAGGATATGTTTTTCATTGATTTTTAGAGAGAGTGGAAGGGATGGAGGGAGGGAGGGAGAGAGGGAGGGGGAGAGAGAGAAAAAAACATCAATGTGGGAGAGACACATCAATTGATTGCCTCCTGCAGGTGTCTAGACCAGGGTCAGGGATCGAATCTGCAACCCAAGTATGGGCCCTTGACTGAGAATTGAACCTGAGACCCTTCAGTGTGTAGGCCAATGCTATAACCACTGAACCACACCGGCCAGGGCAAATCTGACTAATTTTTGAATGACAGTGTAGAATAGGTTGTCCATACCTTCCATGGCAATAAAAACAGAATGCCATTAGGTTGCCAGTGTTCCAAATCAGTTCCAAAACTTATGACATTCAATATTCTGAAAATAACATGAAACATATCACTAATTTAAAAATGTCAAAAGAGACACTTTAATTCAGCTTCTCTTTATAATGCCTAACAGTGCCTTCGGAAAAGCAGGTCTTAATATAGAAAGATAAAAACAATCATTTATTTATTTATTATTTTTTGCAGGGTTGGTTTAGCCCTGGCCAAGTCTTTGTGTTGGATGAGTACTGCGCCCGGTATGGCGTGAGAGGCTGTCACAGACATCTCTGCTATCTTACAGAACTGATGGAACATTCAGAAAACGGTGCTGTCATTGACCCAACCCTGCTCCATTACAGCTTTGCATTCTGCGCCTCTCATGTGCATGGCAACAGGTATTTTTACTTGCAAACACACAGTGAAATGTGTAAGGTTGAGTTGGAAAGGAAGAGAAATGTACTTTGCCATTATCACCTAGTAACAGATTTTAAATAGCAAACACTTCTTAGAAGAAGAAAAAAACACACAAAGGAAAAACGTACATCAATACGCTGTTGATTTAGGTGAGCTGCAATGTAGCATTCCATTTTGCCATTAAAGCCACCTGGAAAAGAGAGAGAGACAGAGAACATATCAGATTAGAAGTTACCTTTTAGTTCTTCCGGACCACCTAGTACCAGGGTCTGCACAGCTTGAGTGTTATTGCTATTTCTGTTGTCATGCATATGTATGTCTGGGTAGGTTTTGTTGATAGGTTTGTGTATTCCTAATGACCCTGGCTTTTTCATTGCGGAATAAGTGACAAAGCAGCATAAATAATGGAGTTTATGTGGTGTCTTCTTCTAGCCCTTTCCCTAAACTACACTTTAGGAACAAGTGTAGTCTTTTAGCACTCCAGTGACCTCATCCCTTGCTTTGCCAAAAGAGCAAGAAATCACCTAATACAGACCCTGAAATCTGTGTACCTCTGAGCTTAAAATACCTCTGTCACCCCTGTCCTAGAGGACCTACAGCTCCTCCATAAAGCAGGTACCCCTGTCGCCTCCACTCTTGACCTTGCTACAACCAGTATGCCATCTCTCCCTCTTCATGTTTCCTTTCTTCCCACAATCCAGTCTAAATTTCACCTAGCCTCACAACATAACAGAGCAGTCCAGACATCCTGAAGTCACACTGCCTGCCTTCAAATAAATACTTATTCACTGGGTGAGGTAGGGCAAGCTTCTTAATCTGCTTGTGTCTCTGCTTCATTATCTATAAGAAAGATATAAAATAATGTCTCTCTCAGAAATTATAAATTGTGGTCAGGATTAAGTGCTCATATATATCAAGCACTTAGAACAGTGCTTGGCACCGGAGTGGTCAAAAGTGTTACATGACACCATATGTCATCTTAAGTATGGCTATCATGTCCAGCTACCTTTCCATTGACCTCTCACCTTTCCCATCTCTAGCTCCTCCCTTGCCAGTGAGGCTTTCTGAAATGAATTGCCTAGTGACCCAATCCAGTAGCCTCTGCTCCAGCTTCCCTCTGACTCTTATGGAAAAGTTGATGCTATGGAACATCCAAGACTCTACGCTGCTCAGAGTGCTGCTTATCCCTCCCGAGGCAGCCGGTCTTAGCTCTCCTCTCATTTATGTTTTGACCATCTCGCTGCTAATAGTTGCTATCCCTCCAGACTCCAAGTACAGTCTAGTGTTGTTGTTTTTTTACATCTGTTCTTAAACTTGCTCTCTTCTTTCTGAGAACATTTCAACTTCAGTAAAAAATTCTACTTAAAAAAAAAAAAATATGCTTCAGTGATCTGGCCCCTTTCCACAGCTTCAACTAGGACCTCTCTTAGTGCAATGATTTCGTTATGCTCCTGAAAAACAGATCTCCGTCAACAGTTGGGGGCTTGAATGTTCTGCCTGGACTGTCAACCCTCTGTATAAAATTAAATCCATTACTCGCTAAACCAGCTCCTGTACCTGTTAGCTCCTGGCAGAGTGCCTGGCAAAGAATAACGCTCCTGGCACAAAGTAAGTGTTCAGGAAATATTGCTGACTGAATGAGTGGCTTCATTATTTGTGCTACTGTTACCTCCATCCATCCTTCTTTTTCTTTTACCTCCTATACCCAATTTATTGCCAGTGTCAATATTCTGTCTTCATAGTACTCTTCAAATCTGTCTTCATACCATTTCCATGCATCTACTCGAATTCTGGCCTTCATTTTTTTCTTGCTTATCTGTTTTTATCAATCTCACTACTGCTTTTTTTTCCTTACAATAGTCTAGCAATCACCTTCTAAATGACAGATTAAGTTTTATTATACTCCCTTTCAAAAAACTTCAGTTATTCTTTTTTGGTTATTAAATGAAAAATAGATTCCATGCTATAGTATTAGGGTTTTCCGAATATCATCTCATTCTCTCCACTCAGTACGAAATCCAAATGTTCTTCTACACATGCTCTTTACCCCAGATAAGATGTTTACTTTCCCTGTAGTGTTTCTGTTTCCAATTTTTGTAACAGTCCACAAAACTCCTCTAAGAAGATTTTACTTGTTAGAACATTAAAAACTCTTTACCTGTCGTTTTCTTATGAACTTTATCATGTATACTTATATGCTGTACACACACACTCTCCCTCTCCCCCTCCCTCCCTCCCTCTCCCCCTCCCTCCCTTCCTCTCCCCCTCCCTCCCTCTCCCCCTCCCTCTCTCCGTCCCTCCCTCTTCCTCTTTCTCCCTCACTCCACCCTCCACCTTCTCTCTCTCCCCCACATACCTGATTCTATTCTGCTGGATCATATTTTGAAGGCACTGACTAGTCTCATTCACCTATTATCCTCTGAAGACCTTACTACAGTGCCTTGCATATTGTGAGTGTACAATAAATATTTGTTGAAGGTGCCACTGTTGCCATTTCTCATCCAAAATATAATGAAAACAATCCTAGTATCAGAACCTATTCAGGCTTTGACCTCATTATGGAACTCGGCCTTACGTGGAAATCAAGAGGATGTTGCAGATTGTGGTTGTTTTACCATCACCTCAAACAAAACCATCTGCACTCAGCAAAGTTGGAGGGTGGTGAGAAAAACCAGCAGAGTCAGGATGGCTAACCTTTGATAGCCAGCATGTGAGGGGCTGTTGTACTAAAACTGCCTCTTGTCTCCTGGCTTCATCCTAATTCCTCCTGACCAATGGGTGTCAAAGGGTCAGCTTCCAATGTTAGGCAGCGCTCTGAAAAGCAAGAAGCTAAGATGGATGCAATGAAACAGACGTACCCAACACATTTAGTATGATCAGGTTATTTTTATCCTTAACACAGAAAGGTAACATGACATTGAAAACATTAAGTAGGAAATTCAGCTAATACTCCCCCAAAATGTATGTGTTTGAGACACATTTTAATGGAAAGTTACTGAGGTAGCTGGGAGCTGCTGCCACTGCCGGGCAGGCAGCCTGATTTGAATAAATAGGTTGCCATAGTTACTTTTATTCTGTAAAAGTATCGTTTTCTTTATAATAATATAGTGCAAAGTGTAATTTAAGGTATGTTTATATATTCATGCATATATTAATAGTATGCATTAAATACTTTTTTTCAGCTTAAAATATGTACATATGCAGGTATCTCTGGGGAATGTTTTAGAATAGAAATTTGAGCCAATCTCTGATTCCACATTTAGTTCACATGTAGCTTAAGAAAAATGAAAGGAAGGAATGCACATTTTAGGAAAATTTGAACCTCAGTTTAGGGTAGAAATTATCCAAGATAAACTGGAAGGTATATTTCCTGTAATTTTTAGTTAACCAGATGTCATTCAGAAATGTCATGCTGTCACAAAAAAAGAATTAGAAGAGGCAGAAAGTCTCTGCTTGAATCTCAGCTCTGAAATTTGCAAACTGACCCACGCTGGGCAAGTCACGTAACCTTTCTGAAACTCCGAGTCCCACGTGCCAGGGGAAATGCTGATGTGCAGGTACTCTGTCTGTATTGATTAGGTGTCATTCTATGCTTCTCTTTATCACCCAGACACAAGAATGTAAATTGTGAGAGGGGGGGAAACATGAAAAATAGGTGGTTAGAGCTGTAATACCTCATGCTAAATGGAAACATGTCATTGTGTATGTAATTATACTCAATCTCTTTGCTAATAGAATATTCAGTTTAAGCAACCTGTCCTTGTGAAAATAAGCACCTCTTATCCATGTCTGCAGCATCTGATATTGACTTTAGATTTTCATTAGAAATATTGCAATGTTAAGTCTGACTTTCCAGTCAGTGTTTCCATAGTCTTTTTTTATGATCATTTTTACATCTGTCAAGGCACACATTCAGAGAGTCATTTTGCTCATTGCCTGAACTACCTCTATCAAAAATTGAAAAGGAGAAAAGATCGCCTTTTGTTCCTGACTGAAGTGAAGGACAACGGTGCTGTCTGGATGGGAAATTTCTCGGAAGCACATCCTTTTCCACGGTGTTGAGCTCTCTAGGTGTGTTCCTTCTGTGCAGACACATCTCTGAATAGCACTCTGAGTATCTCAGGCATAAAAGAATAGAGTTAAACAGAAAAGGTCTGGCTGGTGCTAAGACTGAGAAAGAGAGAAAAAAAGAAAGGGAGAAAGAAAAAAGTGAGTCAAGGACAGAAACAGACACACTCCTGCGGATGGAAGCCGCACACATCCGTGAATAACACAGCCACTCACTCAGCGACGGTGCCGCTGAGGACTGACAGGAAGGAGAAAAGAGACTTTCAGAGACAATGCGTCGTAGGGCAAAGTTCTAGGCTGATATGTGTGGTTATACATCTTGGTTTTGTAAGTCAGGCTGAGGGTGGAGAAACGAAAGCAGCAACACAAAATGGCTTTTATGTCTCCGTGTAATGTACAATGCGCAGTGTGCTCACTGCCTCTTCGGTGGTGCGGGAGGGCCCTCCTGGAGCTGCCGCCCGGCTGACAGGCCCGCTCAGACGGCCAGCGCTCAGCCCGGCCTGCAGCAGTACAACAGGCCACAGCTGATGTGCAAATTAAACCCCATTTTCTGTGGATTCCAGATCATAGCACAGAGTGGTAAGCAGCCTCCATGGGCCTCAGTCAGATCATATCACCTCTCACCTCAGAAATTATGCTTCATCTTCCTGCTTATAATTTTAAAGATAATGATGCATTTTTGAGTAAAATAGATATTTACATCAAATAGGATCATTAAGAATTTTCATCACCACATTATTTTTTACTTTATTTTTATTGTTGACATTATTACGTCTCCATTTTCACCCAGTTTGCCCACCTCCATCCAGCCCCCGCCCCCTTCATTACCACTACTTAGTTCTAGTCTTGGATATATGGTGTAGAAAAATTAAATATAAATGCTATACACATTCTGGATCTAGACACTCACTTC